GCGGAGGCTACACGACTTGTTGATGGGTATTCAGCATGGGCTGGTGCAACATGGCTTGTAGCGCATTCATTGCCGGCTGAGGCTGCACGACTTGTTGGTGGGAATTCTGCATCGGCGGGTGCAGCATGGCTTGTAGCGCATTCCTTGCCAGCGGATGCTGCATGACTTGTTGAATTCCCAGCGGGTGCAGCATGGCTTGTAGACGAAGATTTTTCACGAACCGTTGAAATCATAAATTTATCTATTTTTGTCTGAATCTGATTTTCTCTGGCTAATATTCTGAGACATTGCTCTCAGCTGCGCGAGTTCACAATAAACAATGCGGACACATGGCCCGGCACAGTACATTCTAGGTCCGTGGGAAAAAATACCTATTGCCTATATACACATCTGCCCAGTATAGCTCCGAGGAGCCAAAGAGGCTCTCCACAGAAAAAATATTATATGCGACATACTTTAGCTGTGATGGAGGTGAGAGGTTCAGCAAATTATGGGTGCTGAGTGATGTTGCGCTCAGGGTCACTCAACCCCACCACCCGTGAGGGTGGCAGTTGCCATGGATGTAATTTTTCACAATTATTTTGACGTCTCTCATTCATTTCTTTTCTGGTTCTTTGCCGTAAAATGATTTAAGTGTGGAATTTATATATTTCAATGCGTGGAACACAGCTAAGCTCAAAATTATGGGGCTAATATTTCATGTATATTATATTCTACGATCAATCAAACAGTGTTTTTGCTGTTATTACACTGTATACACACATTGTATACAACTCTCTATGCTCTTGTGCACCATAATGAACCACAAAGATCGTGTGCTGAGAATTTATATACACAGAGCAAAAATCCAAGGTCAGCCTAGTGGCCAACAGCTGATCAGGTGTGGCAGGGGGCTGCCTCAAATACATTTTTACATCATTATTTCAGTTTCTGTGAATGGTTTTATATCAAGTTGTTAGCAGTAATATTATTTACTAGTGTGTAATATATGGAATGTATATTGTTAAATGTGTGGAGCATCGCTATTCTAAAAAATATAGAGCTCATATATGGTGACACATATTCTTAGATCAACCAGTGTTCCTGTTGTTATTACGCTATACACGCATGTTATATATATCATTATCAACATTTATATGTACAATGGGGCCTCGACGTATGATGCTAATCCATTCCCAGAGACGGATCATAAGTCAAAGCGATTTTTCCCATAAGAAATAAAGGGAATTGAATTAATTCGTTCCCCACCCTCCAAAATATTAACATACAAATACATTTTATACTGAATACAATGTTTTTTTCTAACTACAATACAGTACCAAAGTTTCTCTTACCTTCATGGAGGGTTCTTGATGGCGTATGGAAGATGATGATGAGGGGCGAGGAGGAGAGTTGTTACTGTTTGGAAGGGGAGTCCCCTTTCATTATCACATCAGGCAGTGATGTTTTCTCTGGGGTACTCTCTCTCTCCTACGTTTTGCCTGAATACCACTAGGACCTGGTTGTGGTTCAGTGCTTGTTTGTCTCACTACAAATTTGTCAAGAGACATTTGTTTTTCCCTTCATTTTAACATTTGTCTGTAATGATGCATCACAGTGTCATTGAATAGGTTAAGGCAACGACCTATTGCAGATTGATTTGGGTGAGTCGTTTCAGCAAAGGTTTGCAACTTTTCCCATGCTGCACACATTTTCTTAACTATCGAAGAAGAGACATTCTGTACTGGCACATCCTCCCCTGAAGAAATTTCCTCAGCTGCCTCTTCTTCCCCACTTGCATTACCACACAACACCGGTAAACCGGTCTTTCATAGGCATAGTCCAGGCAATGACTTCTCCTCCTTGGTAATGTATGTTTTCTTTGGCAATCTTTTCCAGAAGAGCCCTGTCTCGTCACAATTAAACACTTGTTGTGGTAGGTATGCCTCACTCTGCACAAAATTTTTAAATTCGTCAATGACTCTTTCAGCCGCTAGTTTGAGCTGGCAGCCTCCCTATGCCTCACAACACTATGAATTCCACTTCTTTTTCTAAATTTCTCAAACCATCCCCTGCTCGCCTTAAACTCTTTTACTTCTGCATCACTCATTCCAGGGGTTTTCTTTAAAAGGTCTTCATGCAATTTTCTTGCCTTTTCACAAATGATGGCCTCCAAAACGCTATCACCCGCTAACTCCTTGTTGTGTATCCAAATTAATAATAACTGTTCAACATCCTCAAGTGTTTGTGTTCTATGTTTCCTGATTATTGATACGCCTTTTGCCACTTTAGCACTCATAATGTCCTTTTTCTTACCCAGTATGGTGAATATCGTTGACTGAGATTTGTTGTACTGCCTAGCCAGTTCACCTACCCGCACACCATTTTCATATTTACGAATGATCTCTTGTTTCTGCTCTATGGTCATTCTTACATGGGATCTCATATGTTGAGCCTTACCACTGACTTTCTTGGGACTCATGGCATGATATATAATAATTACTTTAATGTTCAAAATGCAAAAAAATCACCACAAAAGTGGAATTTCATATTGGCGTGTTTGTCACTAAGTGGGCAGCTGTAGTAAACTGAGGCAGATCGGCCGCGTGACCGGGAACCACGCGCTCGGTCGACCCCGAACGTGTACCAACAAATATTGGAAATTGACGGCACCATCTAATGTCGAGTCGCGTTTTTCGATGAAATTTACATCGTAACTCGAAATTATCGTAAGAAGGGGCAATCGTATGTCGAGGTGCCACTGTACCATAATATACTAATAAGCAGTTCTGGTGGGTATGGTGATGAAACACAGCATGGAGCCACAAGCAGAGGATGACAGAAGTCACATGACGCAAGACAATGGTTCCAATATTCTACACATCTCGCTATGACCAGCTACAAAACTGCTGTTATTATCCCATAACAAAATTCTGAATATGAATCCATTTCCATAAGAAAATGAGCATTAGTGAAGTTACATAAGGTCGTTTCATGATGTGTAGATGCAAGAAACAATGGCTAGGTGCTGTGTCTGTACCCCATGCTGTGAATATCATAACTAGCATTGTATTCACTGATATCTGCACATTGTACATAGTCTTTATCACAGTCAGGATCATCTATGACACTATCAATTCAAAATAATTTCAGTTACCTATTTTATTCATCATTATTAAGTGGTGCTGTGGTCCCCTAGCTGCACAGCGGTGCTGTGCACTGCTCCTGCATGCGCCAGCCTTGGTGACTCTCTCAGTACTACGGCTCCCTCAGCCAGCACAGATGCTGAAGATTTTTTTTTCAAAATGGAGTCTGCTTACAGGAGTTCTGAGGGACAGGATGTGAGCCCCATGTACCTGCAGGAGTTTTGAATCACTCCCTATACCTAAAAACACCACATGGCACTCTGCGCACCTCGATCTAGCACCTCTAGCACTGAACTCTGAACACTCTAAGGAATATAACCCAGGCAGCACAAAGGCAGCACTTAACACTTTCGCTCTGTAATGATGCAGCATTGCGTCATCAATTTAGTAGACAAATGTCCGGTAAGGACGCAGTATTGCGTCGTCGGCGGCGGCTTTGGGAAGAGCATGCCGTGGTTTTGGACATTATATGCATATACTCCTGTAGGGAATTTCATTGCGAATACATTGATACCAAAATGAGAGACCTAAGACCAGAATTGAGGTAACAAAGTTGAAAAGAGTATATGCATTTTATTGCTCTTGATGAGCGCTCACTGGGGTAACGCTCCGTCACTTTCTCTGTTTGTTGTGGGTGGTATGCCGGGCTTTTGGACTTTACATTTGCACATACTCCTGTAGGGAATTCTATAGCGAACACCAAGATACCAAAATGAAAGACCTAGGACGAGAATTGAGGTGACCAAAGTGAAGAGAGTGTACACATTTTATTGCTCTTGCGCGCTCCCGGGTAACACGCTCTTACTCTCTCACTTTCTCGCCAGGCTTTTGGGCTTTATATGCATTTAGTCCTGTAGAGAATTCTATTGCAAACACATTGATACCAAATTGAAAAACCTAGGACGAGAATTGAGATGACAAAGTTGAAAAGAGTATACACTATTCAGTATTACCGCTCGCTCCCGTGGAATGCACGAACCCACCTGGGATAGCATAGCACTCGCTCGCCCAGAACAACAAAGTGTTAAGGAGTGTATAGGGGAGGTAACTTAGAGCACATGCAGCTTAAAGCACACTAATCTCCTGGGTTATGCTGCACAGCAGTACACTGGAAAAGCCATTCCGGCAAAACACCATTACCCAATAACAGGAGGCCGAAGCCAGAGCAAACCAAGAGGGCAACCAGGCACACACATCGGAATATGAACTTTTAGTAAAGCAGCCAGCTGACCCAGTCTGTCTCCCTCTCCCCAAACGAGGACGGGGGAGGCAGAGTGAACTAGTTCGCACTAGTTAAAAAAAAAAAAAAAAAAAAAAAAAAAATTGTTTGCAGTGTTCAGGGAATTATTTTTGCTGTTTTGAGGCTGCAGTCTTGTTTCTAACCAAGCTGTGGTCTGTTTTATTTTGCCGACTTTCTGGGTGCCTTCTCTTGGTGGTGGATGACCTGAATAAATTTACATAAACTTTTTCGGAAGTACCACTGCTCCCTGCGCCTCTCTGAAGGGGTCAGGTTCTGGCTCGTAGTCCCAGGTAGGCCAAATAAGAACTCTGTGACCTATGGCACTTTATAGTTTGGCACTATATCAGTACAGTAGCTTCAGAGAGTCGCAAGGGGTTTCCCCAAGAAAAATAAATAGAAACAATTAAAATAAATGAACCAAGTTTTTCTTATGTAGCACCTCACCTCAATCCATACTTTTACATCTAAACCATGAGAGGAAGAGATTTTTTACGTGGATTTTCATATTTCTTAGATGCTAACTGACAATGTAAAAAGAAAAAATAATTCAAATTTTGTTTTCTTGGTCATGATAAAATAGCCTGCACAGTTAGAGGGTTAAAAGTTTAGAAAGAAACTTATTTATTCATACTTACTGGGCCAACACAATTGACAACAACATTAGACTGAGCAGCCATATTGTTGAGAGAATCTTGGTCACCAACATCAGCAAGGATGATGGCTACGTCTTCCAAGCTCAAACCTATGAAAACAAAAACAATACAAATATACATTTTCAGGCAAGTGCTCAGCGAGATATGAAACCATTGACTGTACTGTATTTAGATAATAAAGGGTAATACACACACACTTGTATTAGCATCAAATATAAGCAGAGTATGTTCATTTTTGATTGATTGATCAATTGATGAAAATTAAGCCACCCAAGAGGTGGCCTGGGCATGAATAGCCTCAAACATATTTTATGTCTAGCAACAAACATGAACGTCCACGAACTGTAACAAAATGATAATCATGTTGTTTTACATAACATTTAATTGAGATTTCCCTGGGAGTTTTATATACAATGTTTCCTTGCTTGAACAAACTATATGGGGGGGGGGGGGGTGGAGGCTAAACAATTCCATAAGGGATTTCATTCGACCTGTCAGACCACAGACAACCCTTCACCCAATCCCAAGTGCAAACAAAAATATAAATGCATATAATGGTTTGTGACTAACCTTACCAAAAGAGTAGTGTAGAGAAATATCTTCATAATCCTGAAGCACATTTAGGTAAGTACAAATCCATAATAACCCATCTTTCATCAAAACTATATTAAACAAAAAACAGCGTTGATTGTAATGAAATGCCAATTTATGAGTGAATCCCGGTAGCTCCCTGAAACTATTACACCAATTCAGTGCCATCAGTCACAGAGTTCTTATTGACCTACTGGGAACCACGAGCCAGAACTTGCACCTTCACCCCCCCCCTCCTCAGACAGGCGCAAAGAGCAGTGGCATTATGAAAACCTTTTATGTCAAGTTTTTCATGTCTGCCACCATATAAGGCAAGGCACCCAGAAATTCAGAGAGGCAAAACAGACTACTGCATAGTTAGAAATAAGACCGCTGCCTCAAAACTGCAAAAATAATTCCCCAACAATGCAAACAAACCATCAAAAATTTATGAAACTAGCACGTTAGAACACACCACCTCCACTCCTCGTTTAGGGGAGAAGAGAGGCAGACCAGGTCAGCTGGCTTTTCCACCACCAGTTCATGTTATGATGGAAACCACCCTGATGCCCTGGGGGAGGGAGGGTGTCAGGGAGTCACTGGGGCTCACCCAGAAATTGCAGTTTTATTACATTCAAACCTGTTTATCTGGGAGTAGTCCCTTGTGGCTTACTGAAGCTATCTACCCATGAAGAAGGAAAATGGGGCACAGCAAGGAGAAGAAAGCACTGCAGGTATCAAGACGAAAAGAACCCAAGGCCACACAAATCCACAGAAGACAGGGAACATCCAGAAGATACCTAGCATTTTGATGCTTTGATACGGTATATTTGATACATTTTGATACGGTGGGTCTGGGGGGACCAAAATTTTCTCCCACACCTGAAGAATGGCCAAAGACTAATGAACAAAGAGTACTGAAAGATCAGCCTCCGAAAGCACGTTAAGGGCATGTGAGTAAACCACAGGATGGCTAGAGCATAAGATACTGCAGACAACCTAAGAAACATGAGCCCTGGAACAGAGGACCAGGGAAACCAGATTAAACCACTTACCTGTTGAAGGTTCCAGTGATCAATGTCCCAGTGATGTGACCAGGCCTCCTGGTTGCTGGTCTGATCCACCAGGCTGTTTGATGCAGTTGCTTGCAACCTAACATATGAGTCACAGCCTGGTTGATCAAGTAACCTTTGAAAGTACTTGTCGAGTTCTCTTTTGAACACTGCGAGAAGTCAGCCAGTTATGCCCCATATGTGTATGGAAGAACCTTGAAAAGTTTTGAACCTTTGATTTGGATTGAGTTCTCTCTCAGCTGGTTTATTGCACCTTTGCTCTTCAGTGGGGCTATTTTGCACATCCTGCCATGCCTTCTGGTCTCATGTGGTGTTATTTCTGTGTGCAGATTTGGAACCAGTCCTCCTTATATTTTCAAATGTAGATTATTATGTATCTCATCTGCTTGCACTATAGGGAATACAGATTGAATGCTGCTTTACATACAGCATAGAGAAGGATTCCCAAAAAAAGGAATTGCAGTTGTTAACTGCTTCTGGAATCTTCCTTCTGCGATAGTGTTAACACTATCCCTCACCCGACATGAGCACGGTCAACTTAGAGGTCATGGACCCAACGTGCGGACGAGCGTGCAGGCAAGCGCGCAGTGACACCTAAATGTGTATACTCATTTCAGCTTTCTCACCTTAATTCTCGTGCTACGTCGTTCGTTTTGGTATTATTGTATTTGCAATTAAATTACCTGCAGGTGTGCATGAATATAATGTCCAAAAGCCTGGTGTGACTCCCAAAAGCATAGCCTAAAGTCGGCAAAAGTTACCCCGTGAGCACACAAAATCAGTAAAATGTATATACTCTTTCCATTTTTTCACCTTAATTCTCGTGCTATGTCGCTCGTTTTGGTATCATTGTGTTTGCAATTAAATTTCCTACAGATGTGTATAAATATAATGTACAAAAGCCTGGAGTACCTCCCCGCAGGAAAGCCTAAAGTTACCCGTGAACGAGCACCAATTTGTACACTGCAACCTAATGGTATACTCATTCAGTTTGATAACATCCATTTTCATGTTACTTCTTTCATTTTGGTATCAAATTGTTTGCAATAAAAAACCCAGTGTTGAATGTAATGAAACGCCATTTTCTGGGTGAGTCCCGGAGGCTCCCCGGAGCTTTCCCAGGCTGATATGCTAATGTCAGACTTTGGCATCAGTCATGTGTATGGAGTTCTTAGGCCTACCGGGGACCACGGCCAGAACCGGGCCCCCTCAGAGAGGCAAGGGGAGCAATGGCCTATAGAAGCCCCCGTGTGGTTGGAAGCATTCTAAGAATGTCTGCCATCGACCGGAACAGGCACCCAGAAAGGTAAGCGCCTCAAAACAAACCCCTATTCTGGTTAAAATTGCTACCAAAAGCCGAACTAGTGGATAGAACTCCCCAACAGAAACCAAGCAAACTAGTGTGACGTCACACGCCGCCGCGCCGCTGTCTGCACAGCTCACCCCTCCCCGGGAGGGGGAAGAGGGAGCCCCAGACCCTCCACGCCGGCTACCCACACCTCAGTTCTTGAGGCTGGATGTCAAAAATGCGAAAAACCGCCGACCGGAGGGAGGGAGGAATGCCGGGGAGCCTCCGGGACTCACCCAGAAAATGGCGTTTCATTACATTCAACGCTGGTTTTTTTGGGGGAGCCCCGTTGGCTCCCCGGAGCTAACTACCCACAGACGGAAAAAGAGGGACTTACCCGGGAGGTGGTCGTTGCTCACTCCTCAACTCGAAGCCGAGACAACTGGCTGCAACCGCCGACCCAAAGCAACACAGGCCCGACGGGGTCCAGGGACATTCACAAGGTAAGGAGCAGGCAGGACCCTGTTCGACCGTCAAAATCCCCGCGCCCGAACATCAGACCAAAACATATTCCCAAAGACGGCAGCAAGAGCCGCGAACTTACAAACGTCATGGGCACAGGGATAGACCGCAGGCTGGCTGGATTAATAACCCAGCGGATGACCTGGGAGACCCGAACCCGCGAACAGGGAAGAAGAGAAACCAGATCAACCCACAGTGCGTCCCCGGACACAGAAGCCGTGGCGCGCAAATAACGGCGAAGCACCGCAACCGGACACAAAACATGATGCACCCCCGGCCTGACCAACCAAGCATCAACCACCCACAGACCGCTCCGGAACGCAGCAGTCTCATTCTTCGCCAGAAAAGAAGGAGACGGCTGCAAGCGAACAAAACAATCGCCACGATCAAAAGAGCAGAAAACCCCTGCGCCAGAGGAGAGCATGAAGCTCCCCTACTCGACCCCCAGAGGCCAAAGCCAACAAGAAAAGTGTCTTGGAAAAACAATCCTGGACCGAAGGGGCCACAACGAAACGAGGAGACGAAAGGAAAGCGAGCACTCTGTCCAAAGACCAGGACGGTTCAGGCGGCGCATGAGCAGGCTGGAGGTGAAACAATGCACGAGACAGCTTGCGAAACGGCGCAGACGTAACATTGATACCGAAGGCAAGCTGAAGCGGCTCCGCCAACACCGCACGATACGAGGCGACAGTGTTAGGCATCCAGCCTCAAGAACTGAGGTGTGGGTAGCCGGCATGGAGGGTCTGGGGCTCTCCCTTCCCCCTCCCGGGGAGGGGGGAGCTGCGCAGACAGCGTCGCGGCGGTGTGTGACGTCACACTAGTTTGCTTGTTTTCGGTTGGGGAGTTCTATCCACTAGTTCGGCTTTTGGTAGCAATTTTAACCAGAATAGGGGTTTGTTTTGAGGCGCTTACCTTTCTGGGTGCCTGTTCTGGTCGATGGCAGACAAAGAATGCTTCCAACCACACGGGGGCTTCTATAGGCCATTGCTCCCCTTGCCTCTCTGAGGGGGCCCGGTTCTGGCCGTGGTCCCCGGAAGGCCTAAGAACTCCATACACATGACTGATGCCAAAGTCTGACATTAGCATATCAGCCTGGGATAGCTCCGGGGAGCCGACGGGGCTCCCCCCCAGAAAACGCGTATTTTAAAACTAGTCCCATAATAATAGAGTAATAACTGTAATTTTAACAAATATTTTAATTCTGGAAGCTCATCATCACAAAATTATTTATATCTTTCCAGTGTTCCGACATAAATTGTTGTGTTATATCTTTCATTTTGGTATCATATTGTTGGCAATGTAAAGGAGCGCATTTTAAAACTAGTCCCAACATAATAGGACAATAAATAGAATTTTACCAAATATTTTAATATTTTGACCAAAAACCTATTTATAATCTTTCAAATGTTCGGACATAAAGTTTCATGTTATAGCTTTCATTTTGGTATCAAATTATGCGCATTCTAAAGGCGCTTATTTTGATACTATCCCGATGTCGTTCGGATAAAAAATGAATTTTATACAAATATTTTTGTAGTGGACGCAAGTCAGGTCCAAAGATAGAATTCAAGAGAAAAAAACTGGACGAAAGTCAGGTTCAAAGTTAGCGATACTGTTAAATTGTTATGTGGTCCCA